AACAACGTGACTTTAGTCAACCAAAAGAACTGGCCCATTAAATAAACGAGTCTCTGTTTCACCCACACGCTCAGCTCCTTAACAATGTGTCTGTGCGACAATGGTGGGGCAGCAAAAACTCACACAGTGATCTAAAATGCTAAGTGTTTCTGCAGTGCAGTGCAGTTTGCATGGACTCAACATATCAGGTTTAATCCCTGTACGTGGAATGGCTGCGATGCCTGATTAAACCATTTACAGGAACCTTTGTATACAACAGGTGTTTAGTTTTGGCCTGTGGCCCACCATTAATTTCTAGTTTCGGCCATTCAAGGGAAAAACTTTGGGCACCCTTTCCCTAAACAAATGATTATTAAAGGATAATACTGTCTCTAGTTGTAGCACTACTGTTACTATTACTATCAAATAGTAGTGCTAGTATAGTATAGTAGTAATAATACTAATAGCATCTTTCATGTTTCGTAGATTTAGTTAGCTGAGTCTGTTGCAGTAATATCTTTCTGACACAAGGTGGAGCTACTTTATGTGATCACAGATCCACAATATGGAGTGATGGGTTTATTCGATAAACAGATATAAAAGCAGTCCCGGTGACTTCATTGACTAATTATAACAGAAAAATCCTCAAAATTGTAATTATATTGTTGTAATTTCTCTGAGGAGAAACAGCACGTTGCACTGAATTGTACTGACACATGCAAACGTTCCATAAACAGCACAAACACTTCCCCTAAAAAGAAGAATATTGTCGAGACACAGTCTAACGGGATGGACTCACTGAACTCCACTCACCATGTGCCATTTCTCATCTTCTCCTCCTTCTCTGCCACCGCTGCAGCATCATCCAGTCTCAGCTTCGTCACCTGACCGCAGACGCTCTGGAGCATGGGCAGAAACTCAGGTCCGGAAGAGCTTAGCGCCCGCTCATGTCCCTGCCCTTTCAGGAAGTGTGACATCATCTCTGCTAGCTGTGCGTGGCTCACTGGGCCTCTGCTCTCACTGCTCACTAGAGACAGACCACATCGCAAACTGGTCAGCTGCTAAGATTTGTGAATTTCAAAACTAAAAACAAATGGTTGGGTACATTTTTAATTACATTGTGGTCAAACAGCCTTTGTAAGGCAGACAGGTAGATGACGGCGGTTGGACAGTCTGCTGGGGGCAGAGACATTTGTATGCCTCTCAAAACTCTTTTTCAGGCCTTCGCTGCATCTTTCAGTCTATAAGTCTATAAGCAGTAATTTAAGAGTAAACTTGAAGCACTTTCCTGGTACCTAAAACAAAAATTTGGACCTATAATCAAATTAAAGAAGATTCCTAACACTGAAAACCTAACAGTTAAAATTAAGCATTTTCCGAACTTTCAAGACATTGTCCTTACTTATATTCTTAGTAGTGACACCAGAACCCGGCGGGTCTGGGGAGGAGGAGTTTGAGCCGTCTGATGGGGCTCCGTTCTGAGCCGGAGCTTCATCTGCAGGTCTGATGGAGCTGACTGGAGGCTGGTGACACAGAAACAAGACTCTCTGAAACTATCTGACATCTCTACAGTATGTGTAAACATTTTCTGAACCCCCGCAGTGGACATGCTAAAAAAAAAGGATTCATGTTTGCACTTTGACACAAGTTTGGCTGGAGATTTGAGCTGCTGTCAGTGAGGTAAAGGTCAATTATGGAGTAATCTGTTGTTGTTGTGCTATAATTAATCGTACTGCCCTATGAGGAGCAACAGGCAGAGCACTAGATGCTGAACTTTTGCAGCTGGACTATAATGTACTTTTAGCTTCTTCTCCTGTGCTGATTAACTTATTTATTGGTTGTCTGAATAGTTTCCCTCTGATAAGCTGCTCAGTTCTATACTCTAATCAACATCAAGTGTTGCTTCAAAGGTCTTGTCTTCTTCACAAACCAAAGACATTCAGTTTACTCATCAAGGACTAAAGAGACCAGAAAGTATTCCTATTCATTAATTGAGTAACCATTGCAGCTCTGATGTTAGGATGCAACTCCTGATGTTTTAGCAGTAACTAAGGCATCATCATTCTGTGGGGTGAGAGATTAAGGTTGATACCCTGGAGTCTGCAGACAGGGGCTGGTTGCTGACAGCTGCTGGGGAGATGTTGGCTCCTTGAGTCATGGCAGAGAAAACCCCACCGCCCATCAGCAGAGGCAGGAAGCCGCCCAGGGAGCTGGTCTGGTTCTGGAGAGAAACACATACAGAGGGATGATGATTATTTTGTGCAGATATAATTTCTCTTCTAAAGACATTCAAACAACATTTCAAGATAAATAAAAATGTAATTAATATAAAATTCAAATGCAGAAGACAAACACTAAGAAAACCGGTTTGTTTTGTTATAAGTGTTACTGTTCAGCCGGGAGCCACACCTCCAATGTCAGAGGGACAGCAAGACATAGCAAGAGCAAGAGTGAAGTCGAGTAGTAGTTAATGAGCTTCCTTAAATGAGGTTGTTTAATGTAACAAGTAAGTCGCTGCTCCTTTTCTCCCACCTTCTGCTGGAAGTGAACCATGTCCATGAGGTTCTGGGCTCCTGGCGAGAGGCTCGTTCCCATCTCCTCAACCAGACACTGCACTTGTTGCATGTCGATGCCAGGGCCGCGGGCCATGCAGGGCTGTGTCTGCTGAAGGCCCACGATGACACGACACACCAACACGCTGCTTCTGCCGGCGAGGGAGAGCAGCTGGGAGAGGGACGAGAGACAGAAGAGACAGAACCAGATTATTAAAGTAAACTCAACAGTCATATCAAGAGTCTGAGCTCATCACACTGATATCACAGCTAGTCCTCTTTGTGTCTGGACTGACTTCTCTTTAAACGCAACTCACCTTCACTTCACAGGCTGAGGATGGATGCTCAAGGATCAGCTGTTTCTTGTAGAAAGGCCCTCTGTCTGAACTGTGAGGGAGAAAGGAAACACTGCTTCAACATCCAATCAAACACTCTGATTAATCCATCAGAAATGAATAATAAATGCATCAATGTGAACTCCATTTATGTCATGACAAATAGCCTATGTTTAACACTGGACAAACTGAGAGTGATGGGACATGTAAGACAGGACAAGGAGACAGTGGGGATGACACTGACAAAATTCAAACTCAGGATGTTGCCAGACTGAATCCCTGGATTCAATGATGAAACTAACACTGCTGTGTTTTAACTTTTCTTTAATATACGCTTGAAGTTCTCTAAAAAGTCCTGTCCGGTTTTCTGCCATGAATTATTTGAATTGTTCAACCATTGCACGTCAATGAAACAATCCAGCTTTAACTACAGTACCAAATCTCACATGATGAGACCGTCACTGATTATTTTTATTGCCTCCCACGTGGAATGAGAATCAGATGTGAAACCAATTTAGTAACTTCTGCTCTGTTATTTTGTGATGAAAAACCACAGACCCTATACCTAACAGAGGCCTCAACGTCTGAACTAACTACGCAACTGTGATAACTGCGACAATCTTATTTCCTGTAAATTCAAATAACATGTAAAACATGTAAGTGATGATACCTCTGTGTTGTGTACTGTATACCTGTCTGACTGGACGCGGCTGTTTCTCTCCCCGCGTACTGTCCCGCTGTATTCTCCCATCTGGTTGTACACCTCCATGGTTCGAGCCTCGCTGATGAGCAGCAGGCGGCTGATGGCAGTAGGGGAGCAGGGACTGCAGTGGAGCGTCAGGACACAGGGAGAGCCTTCCTCTGTCTGCTCCAACAGCACTGGGCCACCGCTGCGAAGGAAAGATTAATGGATCACGGCACCATTCACCCATAAAT